GGTTTGTTTTTATAGACATAAGAGAACAATGACAAGGTGTAATTGATTCTGCTGTGTTCTCACAGATGGTAGCACAAGGGACCATGGAACGCCACCTGCCACTGCAACTGACAGTCTCGATAAGAACTGGGCTCCAGGGAGGCAGTTGTAGCATTCACAAAGATGAAGCAAAAAGTACTAGAAAATGATCATAAAAGTTGCAGGATGGAATCAAGACGAGGATCCCCGGACGACTTCGATCTTCCCCTTCCAACGCATCCTGGAAGACGACAGGAACCGGCTGTCGCAGAATGCTTGCCAATCTGTCCCCATCCAAATCGGGAATTGAGTTCAAATTGTCAATTTCGAGTTTTTCAGAAATGAAAAAGTGAAACAAAATGGGGGCGATCTTTTCCAATTGGTTCACGCTCTTCCTTTTTAAATATGAATTTCTTAATTCCCCATGGAAAGTACAAGGAAATGTCCTCATTTCAACCGATAAATTTGCGTTCTTTACCACAATAAATCCATCATGATCCAGACACATTCGTACCAAAAATTTCAAGGGCATAAAAGCCAGTTCTAGTTTATATTATTCGTGTATCACCTCTCCCGTTCAGATGCGAAGACCACATAAAATAAATTGTGAAGAATATGGGCGCTTCACAGGATGAAGTAGCTTTCATTGTCCGGACTAGAAGGTGGATGGAAAAGTTCAACTCACTCCTTGCCGTTGTCAGAAGGCAGTCTCGATGGTCACAGATTGGCGAAGGGATCGGGCATGTAATCATGGATAAAGGAGTTAGATGCACGAAGATCGAAGAAAAACAAGAAAAGTCAGAGATAGAAAGATGAAAAAGGAGGAAAATAATTCCTACCCTCTGAGCTTCGAGAGGCTGGCTGGCTTCATGACGTCACTTTCGCCAAATCTCTTGAAACCATCCTGATCTTGGTGGCCGGCTGGAAACGGCGAATGCGTATCGCCAGGCGACCTGCATCGCGAATACACCTAATGTGACCATCGACTCCGGTACGCACCACGAACGAGTCTCAGCGCACGCGACTCTGGACTTATTCGTGCCCTGAACTTGAAGAGTAGGCTTGAAGAGGGCAAAATAAATGTGATTAAGAAGGAAGGCAGGCAGGCGGTGTTGAACTCGTAATGCACGCGCGTGCATTTGCTGGCACGTGGCAGATGGTGCCACCCAAGATACATAGGGTGCCACCTCCACTGCGGCTCAAGACGGTCTCAACCGCAGTCATGTCACCCAAGTTTACAACGTAGAAATGCGCGAGCGTTCCGCTGATCGTGAACAAGGACTGGACAAGATGTCCAGAACGCTCTCAACGCCTTTGCAAAGTACGTGCGCAACTGACCAAACAAAAGTTATGCATAAATAACTACTTGGTAATTAACAAGGTCTCCTAATTCTGTTGGTACCATCGAATTCCCCAGAACCCCACCCAAGCATCTTCCGCACCGCGTCACCATTTTCGATCCAACGAGAATGACTCCAATGCAAACACAGAGATGAGACTTGCATCCAATATTCCTTTACGACAATTCTGCTTCGGTCACGACGGTAATCACACGACCCTAGAGCACTACAAACTCTCGACGCCGTCTTCCCCTTCGACTCATCGTTCTCGTTTGCGGACTGGCTCATATTTACCCCTCCGTTGTCCTGGAGATGGAATGGCCACGAACTCGCAATACTCACGAGGAACCGTCACGGCGACTCTGCAGTCCCTCTACGAGGTAGTCCAATTGAGCCAGCAGAGATTGACGACGAACGAAAAGTGCAGAATGACTCTTTTGACCAGACACTGACAATGAGGGCCCATACACGCCAACCACCAAGGCAGACATGGACGGAGGGAATCGGGTAGCACAAGCAGCTCCGTGCCTTTGGGGCATATGGCATCAACAAGGCCACTTTCCTCATCCTCTTAACAAGCGAGCCTGCTTTTCTTATCCACCAGAACAGGCCGCATTCAACCAATTCGTTATGATATATTTTTTGTCCTGTTATATATTTATCAGTTCTAACTGTATTTAAGAAGCTGCGCTCTCAACCGTGCACAGACTTGAGACAGAGAAGATGCAGTGTGTGCAATATCCATGTGTTTTTAAACTGTCTTCTTCATCCCAGCAGTTTCTGCAGTGAAAAACTACGAAGACGAAAAGGAAAAGTGGGACTGCTGTCTTCCCTTTCCAAGGCGCCGTGCTGTTCGGTGGAGGAATTTTGTAGGGGAGAGGCTCAGTCACTGTACGCCACAGGAATGAACTGATGAGCACGGTTGATCCCCAGCTGTAGTGTATCCAGTGGCGTAGCGAGGGGGGGCTGGGGGGGCTGAAGCCCCCCCAAGTTTGGTTCATCTCTGGTCGAAATGCGTCCGCCCCACCCCGACGAGGCGAAGTTAGCCCCCCCATTGACGAAAATCTGGATACGCCACTGAGTGTATCCCTTAAAAAAAAAGGGGGGGGGGGATTGAATGCTAAGTTGAAACTGAAAAAAATTTTTGGGAAGCACTTCTTCCGACGCTTCACTTTGACGCGTGATAGATGGAGGCAGCCGCAACAGATCATACAAGATGACAAAAATGACACTTTGAAGTGGCTTTGGAGTGGTTTTTCAAGGAATATGCCCACCACCCCTTTAATGAATTCCCAGATGAATCATTATCAATTTTCACAAGAGTGAGAGCGTTCATAGATGATCTTCCTTATCAGGGAATTAAGCCTCAGCATACACTTTGTTTATTAATTTTTTTTCCGGACAGTCGAAGATCTGTTCTCGCAACCGGAACTGGGAAGAAGAAATTTTATATCCTCAGTTCCCCCCTGAGTACTGCCAGCTGTCGACTTCCATCGCCAGAAACTCAAGGAATTCCTCCATTTTCCCTCGTTTTTCAACCCTTTCCAACTATTCCAGGTCTGCAGGAACTCTGTACAGCAAATTCGGCCTCATTCACTGAAGTCGACTTTCATTATGACTGGGACAATTGGAACGTCACAAAAAATGGAAGCAGAAACCTTGTCAATGAATCAGTCATTTATTGAAATGGAAGAAACAAAAAACATTTTGCATTTTCTATTTCATACTAAGACTATTAGAATATGAACAGATTGTCAGATGGAGTGGTCCTGCATCGGCGCAATTTCCTGTCAATAATCCTTAAGCGGAGCGGATTTTAGGCGTCGTGTCTCTCTCTCCCTGGCGTTTCATGGTCTCCTCTAAGTGATTAATATTACATGTCAACATGTTAACAGCTTAAAATGTAAGTAGTGTGAAAAATCATGCAGACAGCTGGGTGAACCGCTATCTCTTTCAGTTGATTTTAGCGACTCCAATCCGACATACTCACGTCAGACCGAATTAGAATAATTGAGAGAAACAGAAAGGACGACGGGGCTTCACTTGAGACTTTCTTTTGCCTGGACAGTGCCCTCACAATGCAGTTAGAGACTCAGAGTGAACAAGCTGATGAAATAGTTGAAGACTTTCGTGATTTAGTGGGAAAGAGATACTCAATCGCTGAGTAGCATGGGTATGATCTTACGGGATCTCTGCGACACAAATATCGCAACCAAAATGAGTAGATGAGGTGAGACCCAAACGCCGAGCTCGCATGTGGACTCAAGGTAGATCGCTTCTGAATGGAACACTCTATATGCCAACCCGTTGACGTTCTAGCAGCCCAGATTTTGCACACACATGAGAACCCAAACGACTTCCACAACTTCTTTGTTCAAAACATCAAGAGAAAAATGAAATAATTTTTTCTTGAATAGATGCTAAGTCATGTGAACAAGAAGATACACACACGCGAAAAATGAGATAGTCGTGGATTGTGACACAGACGGTAGAGAACAGTGCTATCAATGGTAATATCTTCCAATTTCTTCGGTGTCTCTAGTCACTTTACCTCCTCCAGTTATTTCTCCGTATTCCACAGCCCCGATATCAATCAATCTGCTCCATGATTGGAAAAAATTGAGGATTTAAAATGAAGCAACTTGCCTCTGCCCTTATTTGATTCGAGCTTTACTTTTCACGTCCATTTTACTTCGCAGCTTTCCTATCGAGCTCTCATGACCCTATTGGTCATGCTTCTTGTCGAGAGAGCCAACTTTTGAAGAAGGCGAAGGCATTTCCACAGTTCTTTAGTGTATGGATTTGGTTAGACAGCAGCCAAGCATTCGGTGAAATTCAAAAGCAGAAATGTCATGAGTGACAGTTGCATCTAAAGTGAAAATTAGAAGACTGATAACCATTCACATCCTATTTTAATGTGTTCACTCGCACCGCCGTCATCATGTTGTACGCGTCACCGGTGACTCGTAAAGTAGTGAACGTGTTAAAGGATCAATCATAACCTTTGCAAATCCACAACTTTTTTTATTTTTTATTTTTTTCCTCCGAAAGTCTGTCTCATTAGAGAACACTGTAATTACCTATCATTGTTATGGGAGCAATACATTTGCTACTCCCAGCATCAGGTCATTTATCCATAGAAGCGAACCTCCATCTAAACGAATCCATTTCTCACAATACCTGTTAAGGGGTCAAGGCCTGGAAATTTTATGCTACGTTTCTCATTGCTTTCAACTCATTTCTCCGTTTTGGCATCGTCCCACTGTATCGGTTCTTCTCACGAAGTCCAATACTTAACCCTGGAACTGCCAGAAACAGCACGGCGGCCTACCAAAGTCGATTCTATCGACGGTTGGCAGTTCTAGGGCTAATATAATTTCGTTTAAAATATTCAAATTTACCTCAATCTGGAAATTTGAGAAATTGAAACGACAAAAGGAATAAACATCACCAGCCCTGAATTTTGGAAAATGATTACATATGGGATTCTCAGATTTATAGGCGTACAGATAATCGATATGGAGAAGTTGGGTCAGAAACTCTCCCACCAAAAACGAAGTAAATGAAGTAACTTGAATGAACGAACCATGTCGTGCTCCTGGATCCTTCGTCTGCGGACTAGGATGATTTGAAGGAATCAGCTTATAGCCCGCCGGATGCAGCATGAACAAAAGCAGCCTTGGTCCCAAGTTCGGATCCTGGGAATTTACAACGATACACCAAACTAGCATTTTGACGTCTTAGAGAACCGTTTAACTGCCATATGACCAAAATGATATATAGTTATCATTTTGGTCATATGGCAGTAGGTAAGGAAAGATAAACAAATCTAAATGATCTGGAATGTGACTTTTTTAACCTGGGAATATAATAAGAAATCATGCCACCCACCTTGATTAATCAACTATTTAATGATAGGTTAACATCAATCAAGAGATTCAAACGGGTATCTCGTCTAAAATTGAAACGACCCAAGCTGGATAATGTTTCATCTATGATGCGAATTCCCCTCAGACATCCAAAAACTAAAACGAAAGATTTATTTGATGGAATTACACGAAGGGATAGATTCCACAATACGTTTGTGATGTTGATGTAATTTTATTCAAAGACGTTAAGTTTCCCGGAGTCCCCCAAAGTTATAAATAAACTGAGTTAAACGAACGACCGATACATTGATTCAATAAGTAGGATGGAATTTTCTCATCGGTTGGAAGCCCTAATATGCATCACTACAGGCACAAGAAAGTCACATTGAAAAAGGATATGCAGATGTAAACTGACAGGGAGAGGCTCAAGCGAGGCATCCTTCAGATGCTGTGAAAGTTCACCGACATTAGACAACTGCCCCTTATGCTCCACGATGTCGTTAGAGGCCCAGTTCGCCATGTTAGTCACAATCTCCACGAGTTCCCTGGTCAAATCTTCTTCCCCAGACACCTGGAAGAAAGCAAGGAGGTGATCGCTCTGTAAGGCCATGTATTCTGCGCCGCTTGGCCTCCGAGAAATGAAGCTTGATGAGGAAACCTCTTTGGTACTACTTGGTCTCACTTCTCCGCGAGAGGGATTCTCCATGCCAGATGCCATCTCTTTTACGCCCCTTTCAAGATGTGACGCCTTGAAAGGAACAGAGCCACCTGAAATTCCAGGTATCGCAAAAATTAGCCCTTTCAAATAGCATTTTCAATAGACAAAAACTTATATGCTCCAAACAGGCAACTGTTCCGGATGCAACCTGCTTCATTAGGCTCATGTTCATCCTTATATGAATGAGCACAAAACGAAGAGAGAAACTGGAGTGGATTTTGCTCCAGGTAAAGGATGAGGGCCACTATTAACCTTCGAAACCGAAATCTTGATCTCGGAAGTTGGACTGAGGAAGATGTGGCTGCTCCATCTGACCATTCCACAGAGGATTTACAAGCAACAAGTAACAAGTCTATTACTTGTAGAAGCAAGTTTCTGTTCCACAAAAGAAAATTGTACAATGAAGATTTACAAGTATAAGTTTACAAGCGAATTGAGTTTGGGAAAATGGATTCTGTTCCACAGTCTATAGACTTGTACTTGTAAAACATCTGGCTCCGAGTACTCTGATTAGAGCCACAAGACTTTTATGCTTGGTAAATGTATTTTCCTGTTGTGATAATTTCATAAAGCAATATAGGCATAGTTTTAATGTGACGCAATACAGTAGAGTTGGGCTCATGTGATTAAGTCGCAAAAAAACTTGAAAGTATAAAATCCAGCTCCGCAGGAAATGAAATACCTGACTATAAGCGGTGCCAGCTAAAGAATGATCACAGCAACTTTTCTTGACGCCCTCTCTGATAGAATTAACCTTGAATATAAGTGTGGACTCTATCTGGTGTAGAGTACTACCATTGGACTCAAACAGCTTCCCCACTTTGTTGGGCATATTCGATTGCACCCTATCTGGAATACGTAGACTCTGACCTTCAGGCCAAGACATGGCGTATTCGATTCTTCATATCCAGCTCCTCGTCATATGAAATATCCATACGCTTCATTAATGAAACCTCTTTTGGTGTCATTCCACGAGTGCTACTCGATCGAGAACTCTGGAATGCACTCAGAACTTGCAATATGAGCTGGCTCCAGTGCCTTGTATTTTTCGATTTACAAGCACTAGCGCAAACTCTGTGGAACAGAAAATACAAATACTTGTAAATACAGTGGTACCTCGCATAACGAACGCAATTCGTTCCAGCGGTGCGTTCGTTATGCGAGGTGTTCGTCGGATTACATGATTTCCCATAGAAGTCTATGGGAAATCGTGTTTCGCATAACGAACACCTCACATAACGAACGCACCGCTGGAACGAATTGCGTTCGTTATGCGAGGTACCACTGTACAGCCACTCCGCTTGTAGCTTGTAAATCTGTGGAATAGGCCCCTGACGTTTTCCTTCTCTCGTTCCTTCTTTTTGGGTCATAGACAGGAGAATACCATGACCTTGGGGGTCTGGCATCGTGTGACTTTCCATTCGACAGCAAGAAATTAGGAAAACAGCCAAAGACATTCTGCTATGCAGATATTTGATCGAGGATGAAGGTATTAGTTTAGACTGACTCTTGAGTTGTTCTCGAGCGTGAGGGTGCCGATAGACGCCTTTTGGCTGCCAAACCTCATTTCTGGCGTCTTCTTCAGTTTTAGTCTTGGCTAGAACTTCAGGCATGTGGGATACTGCACCAGATTTTGGACCCCATTCTGTTGCAAAAATCAAGGCGATGAGCTGGGAGGGAGTTAAGCATCGACGACGAGGACTAGCATCAAGTCCTGCGAACCTTTGCTTGTCGTGCTCATTTTGGCCGATGAAAGAGGAGAGGGAATCACCTTGGGTCAGTTCTCGTACTCCACGGGCAGAGAAACGGGTTCCTGCAGGCGGCTAGATGACTTCCCACCGGAGCCCTTCGAGTCTGGCTCTAAACGAGAGACATTGAAAGGTTCGGTCGTTGTCGGACTTTCGCCCTGCTTCTTCACGAAAGGGATCTTGCCGGAAGAATGACCTCCCTCGTACTTTCGGAACAACTGAATGCTCCGCAGCCAGATTTCCAGCTACAGGAACGACTAGGTAAGCTATTGTTGAATGATCAGCTCTCAAGAACATTATCTACTGGATGTACGTGATGTGAATCAATTGGTCCATAATTCCGGTCCATAAGTCCATAATAGGCTTACACATAATTCCGATGGTCAATTTTGACCATCGGAATTATGTGTAAGCCTAGAAATGATCGAGAACCTTGCTCGAGGAACGTGCTAGTGAAAACTCGGGAAGAGGAACTGGCAAACCTTTCGATACGTACATTACCAACCCTTTGTGGGCTAGTCCCTCGATCCTACGTTGAGTCAACATCAACCCTCACGTTGGAGGACTAAATTATGTAAACATACGCTGACGTGCGACGTGACTTTCAGGAACTTAGAAGAGGCTAGGAGTAAGTTCCTATATTTGTACACGATGGCAGTGCTGCCCTACTGGGGACGTTGCCGTTGCTAGCGGGAACAGAGATGGGCCAGAATTTCCCTAACTTCTCTTGAGGGGGGGAAGGGTGGGGGGGGGGGGGGAGGGGTAGGCGCTGTTGAAAAAAATACNACCCTCACTCATTCCAGTGTTGTGGTTCTCTTCCATTTCTCCCTCTTCTCGTTCCTGCATTGGGCTCGAGGGAATTTGAGCCTAGCCAGCGTAGGCAGGCAGCGCCGTGCCTACTCTGGACGTATAATCTCGATTTGCTTTTACCTCGCAATGAAAAAAATATTTCCAGCTGTGTTAATCGAATAATTAATTATCAAATATTAATTTGAGAACTCTGATTGTAAACTGGGTAGGCACTGCCTACCCTGCCTACCCTGACGAGCCGCCACTGCTCTCGGGTGAGTGAAGCCATTGAAATGTCCACCATTGCTCCATGCATCCACTGAGTGACCCTCTCACGCCTTATTTTTCCTAAGCCTAAACAATGAAAGCACTCGGAATTTGCCATCAATAGCTACTCGATGGCATCGATTAAGCTGGAAAGCCCAGGCTTTCATCATGGTATTATAGAACTCGACGGAATTGAGCATGGCAGCCCTTTTATTCTTAAGTGTGTCATAAGACTGTCAGGTCCTGGCTTAGGATAACCAAGAAAACTTCCTAGACCCTGCCTAGGTCCCTCCCGTGATCCCAAGAGAATAGCAAAACACATAGATTTGCGATAGCTCGAGATACGGGATAGTAGCTTAAGCTTAGGGTAGGCCTACTGACAATAGGTATAGGCCTGGAGCTAAGAGGTGAGAGATGTCTACTGACGAGCGAACGCTCTCGCTGCTGCCGTCTGCAATACCTGCGATGGTGATGGCGAATTCCGTCGTTTGAGAGTGTCGGAGAAATCGCTCCGCAAAGAAATCACACAGAAAATGGCCTTTTCTATTGTTATCTGCCGTGAAAAGTGAAGACGTAGGAAGTATTCCAACGAGTGAAGCCTACTAGCTCGTGTCCTTAGATGCAACAATGCGAATGAGAGCCGGCGGAGAAGGGAGGGAAGGGGGGAGGAGAGGCTGCTTCGACTGCCAACCCTGTATGTTCAAAACGGAGTCGCAACGATTGAGCAAACGCAACTTAATGTCTCTTTCGTTTTCGGAGGGATCCCTTTAACGTTGCCTCAAGATCCTCCCACTATGAAATGCCTTTCACAGCTTTACGCGACAGATCAGAGCACTGCAATTACGTTATAGAGCGGGACGTTTCCACTATCGCAAGCCTTTCGAAGTACATTCGAGGTACAAGCACCGTTCATAAAATGAATTGTGTATGAGCGAAATTTGTTTACGCTTCAGAAGCTCATCAGATGGTAAGTCTGCTTCGAATCCAAAGACGGTATTAGCCTCCTGCTGGTTCTTCTCCGTGGTTCATTTCCGATTCACTGATGGGTGATTCGGATTACGGATCGAAGAGATAGATTTCAGTTTCGGATTCTATCTCTTCGTTTCTTTGGTGGATTTCATAGTCGCTCGATTGTTCGATACCGCGGAGGCCTCCGGGAACGATGAAGAAAGGAAATGCGAATCATTGTAAAATTGGGAAAGACAGAGCGAAATGAAAGCCACATGAACATGCAAAAAAAGGAGGGAGGTTGGGACACCGGCAGTCTCGCGAGTATGGTGAGAATTGAATGTTTGAAGGCAAGGCGTGAGACCGGGAATTCCCATCGAGACGGAATACGGGTCGGCGATTTCCTGCCGAGAGCGTGAAATCCATTCTCCCTTTCCTGATCCGTGCTACTTTTAGTCATTAGGCCGAGGAACTCGCCACTGCGCAATCGAGTCCCGAAAGCCCGAAAGCCCAAGTGGGAGTGGCTTTCACACGACTTCACCCCACGGGCGCTTCACCGAGATGAGTCGCCGGGAAAAATCCCCTCTTTATTATATATAGCCCAAAGTTGACATGCTTTCGTGATTTCAGCGGGAATAATGCAGGACGAAGAAAGGAGCAACAGCGGGAGAGTCTGGTGCGGCTGGTGCAAACGAGCGAATAGAGTGCGGAGAAAAGAGAGAAGCGTATCCGGGTCCACACCACCCGCGGATGCCAATCCAAACTCAGGATTCCGAGGGACTTTGTCTCAAACGTGAAAAGGTAATCCATGATCCCAATACTCTCCTCGTTCTTTTCTGCTCGGATATTCACGGGATTCCTCGTCGTCCTGCCATTCCACGTTGGAGTCATTTTCCTCCTCCTCCTCCTCCTCGCTCCTTGCAATCCGGGCGAACTCATCGGATTTTACGTACCCCGGACCTGAGTGGAGAGGCGCGTGCTCTTTGGCATCTCTTCCGAAAATGGATCGAACCCGTCGAAAGTGGTCGTATGAATTTGCAGGGGAGGCGAGAACCGGGGCGATGGGATCATCGGAAGATGCGAGATGCCTGACCCCGAGCTCGGACTCGTAGAAACTCCTCGCGGGTAGGTAATCATCGTGGCGAGGTTCGAACTCCTCGAGCGATTTCTCATGGGGATCGGAGTGGAATGACTCCCACGGTTCCGAGTAATAGTGGGATCTCTCGCGGAAGTAGTGTTGATTCCTCTTCCCCGTCCGGACGGAATAGGGATATCCTGGATCGTCTTGAAGAGCCTCGGGAAGACCCTCATCCGATATGAGATCTTCCAGCAACTCTACCAATTCATTTTCTATTCCCGAACGATACGAGTGGTCAGAAGAGTACTGCTGTCGACGGTCTTGCGCATCCCAGTTCCCGTACGCCTTGAAGTCCGCTGAGCGAGACGGGTTTAAATCGTCGGGCGAAAAGTACGAGCATATGCGCCTCTTGATTCTATCTACGAGCGATTTGATCAGAAAAAAGGTCCTCCCCTCCCTGTTCGTGCTTGGCCGTGGACGGTCGACGAAAGCCGGCTCGACGTCGAAGGCATCGTCGGAAAGAAACCCATTTTCGGGGAAGTTCCATGGCATCTCCGACGGTTTCCGCGACGCATCGTCGGGATCGCTCCGGGCGAATTTTCTTCTATCTGATCCATCTCCCTTCTCGACAGCATGGGAATTTCCTACGACGGAAAGAATTTCCAGCGGTCACAGCATGAACATCAACGTCTGCGAGGAAAGTTGCTATCAGAGCAACCTAAGAGGGTGTCCGAATGAAGATCATGGCAATTTGTGAGTGGGAAAAGCATAAGAACCTGCTATGATGCTGTTGCTATTGCGGTAAAATAAAGGAAATAAGTATTCCTGACCCCCACTCTGTGTCCCAGGCTGAATCCAAGCTGATGAGAGACGATAGAAACTGAAGTGAGGATTTCTTCTCGCGATGGCATTCACGATGTCATCCTGCAGGCCTATGACTGAAAAGTTCTTTCCTTCTCTAGAGATGGTGTAGACCAGGGGTGTGCAACCTTTATTGGCAGTGGGCCGCATGGAAACGTGTGACTCTTGACGCGGGCCACAGAATGCAAAAGAAAAGGCGCCACTCTTTTGTCCTTAGGGCATATGAGAGCATAAGGTCGCGCTGATTGGCCGATGATCCGAACCTCCTCCCCACCCCTAGGAAATTCCAACGTCCGAGAACAGCCTTCGGCATTGAGAACCTTCTTCCTCGGGACATATATACGTATAAAATATATAGCACCTCTGGCGTGAGAAAAAATTAGAAGTGAAAGGACTCAGTCTATTTCTTGTTACTAAGGGATGACCAAAGTTGTGATGGGCCTTCGGCCGCAAAGAAACTTATCTGTTATCCCATTATGCATTACCGGGCCGCAAGAAGCAGGTCCACGGGCCACATGCGACTCGCGGGCCCCGGGTTGCACATCCCTAATGTAGACGGTGCGATTTCGAATGTATTTCTACTGTCAAATCAAAGTACCGTGAATCCTGCACTTAACCTATTGGAAGTGGTAAATGAAAGGGTGAAAAGCTTGCATCGGCGTTACAGCGACTGAAACCGTCAAAAGTGAAGAGACCCTGTGTGGAACGGAGACTTCTACTCCCGCTCAAAATGCAACATGAATGCTTTTGAGGGTATCCTTGAGCTGAATCTTGCACCGTTCCGTTATCGTTCCGCATGGAGTTCACGTTTTAACTTTTCTTCGGGATCAAGGTTACTCGTTCGCGGTCCCTCGAATAGAGAAGAGACTCATGACTCACAAATCTAAAGAATTTTATTTATACATTCAAGAAAATGGTCTAAATGAGTCGAGTGCATTTTAATGTAGTATTCTCAGAGAAAAATCAAGCGACATACGCATACCCCATGGTTTCACTCTACCGTTTTAACCCTTTCCTTCACCTCGAGTCCAAGTACAAGTACTCAAAAACGTCCTTGAAATACATATATCACCCCAATAAATTCGTTCATGAGGCAGTAGCAGGGATACCATCAGCCCAACTGTGACCAAGGCAATCAGTTACACAATTCTATTTATTAATTAACTTGAAGTCTCATTACCACTGATATGGTCATAAAATATTGAAATTAGAGGGTCATTTGTGTATTAGGTGATATGAATGTTTTATACAAGAACCTAAAAAAGACCAGAATACAATTTGGTACTGAAGCGGTTTTGCGTCCTTATTCTTTTAAATACGAGAAAGTGACAGAAACTGTCACACATTCTCTTGGAAGCAATGGTTCATCATGATTTACGAGAATTCATCACTCACTCATCCAGATGTCTCGCTCCGGATTCTTGGCCCAGACAGGCGGACCTAAACAGGAGTGGAAAAATGAAAAGATCGTGCCGATGGAAAGCGCCGCACCGATCGGAGAGATATGCGATGGCTTCTTTGGGATATGGTGCCCCTGATCTCACTTACAGGCGAGGACGGTTCCGAGATAGACGAAAAGCACGACCCAAGAGAATTCCATGGTCCCTGGTCACGAATTTAGCCCGCGAGAGATCCCGCATGCGAGTGATGAGCGGAGGATGAAGGACGAGATTCTTAATACCGCTCGAGATGCGACGCCGTTCTTGGAAAAGGGAGGAAACGGGATCCGACGTTCGTTTCTCCACGCTTCTCTCAAATGACACCCCGGACGGTGTCCACGTGGCCGCGGTTTTAAACGAGCCGTCGTTTCTCCGTAATGGGTTTTTAACACCTGATGCCACGGAGAGGTGTTCGAGTGGCACGTGCCGAGTGCCAGCGTCGAAGCACGATTTCTCGCGCTCGGTGGGACTTCCGGAAAGATCGGTAAAAGTTTCAGGTAAATATCCCCTAAGCCTCCTTCCTCTGCATGATTCCAAGGCCTGCATATTGATGACGCGATCGTCTGTTCTCGTACGATTGAGTGTTCATGAACCCCGAAGAATTTCTGCAGGAATTATCGATCGATAAGCCTTTCCGTTGCTTTCCCCTGTGGTCTCCGATCGTGAAAAGGGAATCAGAGAGACTACTAGCAAAGTCCAAAAAAAAATGAAGACACGTATGATGGGTTCTGCGGTTTCTTCGCCGAGACGAGAGAATCCAGCATTCCAAGTTGTAAGAAATCCGCTCGGTTGGTGTTCCCACCGTTGAGGAATTCGACCGTGAAAGAAATGTAGGACTGTTCGCTCCGCAATAGATTTTCCCTGTCTCCAGGAATAAACTCTCTCACTATCGAGCTCCCTCTTATCGTCTCGTTGGATCGACCGGTAGAAAGAACATTCTTTTACGTTGTGGCTGCCACTTACAAAAATATTCCCCCTCAGGGTGCGATATTTCCAACGGACACTCGTCAAGGCACACAGCTCGGTATAGGCGTGAAGTATCGCGCGTGCTGCGAAGAATCCCGGCAGTACGAGACAAGTGTCGGGAGAGAAGGGGATCCAATAATTATAACTCACTTGTCTCGTCGTGACAGACGAATTCCCGCTTGGTGTGTCAAAACCATTCGCAGATCCTCATTTGTCTTGTATGAAACACGTTATATCTGTGCCTCGGGTGTTCATCTCCCTCTGGGAAGGTGACGACACCCGAGCTTTTTCTAGAATTCCTTGTTAAATATTTCAAAATTTGAAGGAATGCTCGCATGACGTAGCACGGGAATCGCTCTTCGCCTGCGATTCGTTTTAACGACCATGAAGTCACCTTCTGGCTTCTGTTCCACCTCATCCCGTCGACGATTTCGTGGCTTAGGCATGAAATTCGGAGAAAGTGACTCGAGGAGGCGGGGATCGAGACGGACCGACTCCTTCCAATAACCGCGAAGACACGGGCGGGGGTCATTGTTCCTACCTAGATATATGATAGTCTGGATTGGGTTGGTTTCGAGACGGGGATTCCCGTCCCTGTCCTCATTTTCCCCGTTTTTTCAATTCAGTTTCTCCACAATCGAAGATGGCGACACTTCTCGCTACCCCCTTCCAGCTCGACGAAGATCTCTTCCGAACTTGCACAGAAGAGAAGCCCATCGCTGGATTCAGCCCTCATTCCCTCCCCCCACCCCCATGTCATGATATTCAATCTTTGCCCGAATCTTTTCGGTTTGCTAGCACCCTCACGGGACGCAAAGAGAAGACGAACAAAATCGAGTGGAAAAAAAAAAAACAAGTTTCATTCATGGACATTGTCAGAGAACAAAGAAGAGGAAAACGGAAGGGCAGCGAGGACGAGGAGGCATCAGCGGAGTCCCAGACCGCTGGGTTCCTGGCGAGAGTAGTCGCGTTCCTGGCTGTACGGATTCCCTCTACGCACGAGAAAACGGGGGATGGAAACCGAGCCGAAATGCACAAGGAAGCGGGAAGAGGGAAACGCCGAGGACTCACATGTTGGCGTATATGTTTCGTGGATTGTTTCTGTTATAGGATCGGCGTGCGAGTCTGGCATCGTAGTCGTATTGGGGGGACCTGGCGTCTCCGCAGCGGAAGAGGACGGCGCACAGCACCAACAGGATCGCCGTCTGCGAAAAGCCAAAATCCACGACTGTCGAGGTGACTTTCGCGGGATCCGAAACGAGAACGGAGAAGACTCACGAGTGGAAGGTAGAATCGCATGTTGAAAGCGGAGAGACTGTCGAACGAACGCGCGATTCCAGACTATTCCGCGGACGAACACGGATTCCGGTTTTTATAGAGACGATGGAAGGAAGGGTGAAATCTATGATTCCCTTCGGTCAAGGACTGTCCATTTCCTCGGCGTTCGTCTTTCTCCCGGTGACCCAGAGGAAATGACTCACCGATCTCGGACCGAACCCGGAGATGATTCCCAGAACGTTTTTTCCTCGTCCTTCCTTTGAGGGTCGCGGAAAAACCCGCTCTCTCTCCGCTTTTCTTCAAGGCTTCCTTATCTTTTCTTCCATCCGAAGCGGCGGAAAGGCAGGAATCCTCGCGACGAAACGGCGCAGAACAAGACCCTGGGCGAAATAATCTCGCTCAGTCGCTAAAAGAAACTCAACCTAGTCGACGAAACGAGGCTGGAAGTCCTGTCAAACTTCCAGTCAATCCTTCCATTATTTATCTAGATTTGATTTATTTACGGCTGAGTTTGATGTCGAAAACGACCAAATTTGAAGGGCGTGCTGCGAAAAGTAACAGAGAATATAGTTTCTCGACTACCGGATCAAATACTTAAAAATACGAGGGGCAGTCAAATGAAAACGGGACATTAAAATTCTCGGTTGTGCGTGATTCACCCCATGTCCCGTTTTCATTTCACTGCCCCTCGTTTATTCGACGTATGCCATCGTTCTCTTCAAGTGCAGATTTCTTTCACGGTACGATAAATTCCTCAAAGTTTCAGTCATCAAGGAGAAGAAACGACGGGGAAAAATGCACAGGAGTGCCAGAACGCGACGATATTCGCACTGGACCTTCGTGATTTCATCTTTCTTCCTGTATTTTTCTTCCATGTCGGGCCTGACACTTTTTCACGGCCCCTCGTAAATCTAACTTAGACGGGGCACTCGGACTTTGGAAGCAGTCTGTCAAGATGAGAACCCTACTCGAATTCGTATTGCTCACGATACACTCGTTCCTGGACGTCTGCTGAGAAGAGGAGAGAGCGCAAATGAAAACAGACGACCTAGTAGCGGCACGGTTTTTCCTTGAAAGTCCAACTCCTCGGCCAGGAAAGGAAGAAGCCTCATTCTGCAGATTTCCCCCGTCTTTCCGATTTTGATTTCTCTTAAGAGAAACTCTGGAAGACCATTCAGGGCTGGATATAAATAACTTAGGACCCTTTCTTTTCGTTTTGTGTTTGTCGAGAGCGGAGACGACGGGCGAGAAGTCCGGCAACACGGAATCTCGTCGTAGTACGGCCTGTCCCGTGAGGATGAGCGAGTCATTTCTGCCATTTTCAAAGAACCATCGAATCTGGGTAGCTTATCCGATTCCTCATATTATTTTTCTTCGAAAGCCCTGCGTTAATGAATAAAAATACTTGTCTGACTTTTATTTATTTAACTTTATCCGTTTCGATAATAAATGATTCGAGGTTAATTCCGAGCGGTTACTGCTGACTGACATGGCTGCAAAAGTGTGGAATCGGATGGACCCCGTGGATGGAGATTTCCTTTTGGATACGACGACAGGCGTGGAAAGAAGTCAATGCTCCCTTCCTCGTCCGGAAAGCCCCCAGCGAGTGGAAAGATGGAAATGCGGAAATCTCTCCCCCTACTTGATTTTTGATGGACCGGCTGGGCGGGTGTATTCCTCTCTGCCTCCTCCAAGCGCCTCGCCTCGAGATGTTCCAGCGTGGCCTGAGTGGAAGTCTTCAAAATCGTATCGCCCCCGCATCCACGGTACATCAGGGAGCAGCAGGGAACGTCGTCCGTACACAGATGCTCGCAGTGGCGTAACTAGGGGGGGGAGGGGGCAAGTGGGGCGGTCGCCCCGGGCGACACAGTCCAGAGGGAGGTAAAATAGCCTTTCGAACAATTTTTTATTTCAAAGAAGCAAAATTTCGGAAATTTTTTTATTTTGCCCATTTTGACGATTTTGCGATTTTTTCCCGTTTGCCACCCTCTGAACTGAGGGCGGCAAACGTCATCTTTCAGCAAAATGAAGCTGATTAAGTCGTACCTGCGATCTACAATGTCTCAAGAAAGACTTACAAATCTTGCAATCCTGTCAATCGAACATCAAGTTGCTTCTTCCATTGTGTATTTAATAAATCTCATTCTCCAGTAAAATGTGTGTGCATGTGAAAATAACAATTAGCAAGGGGGGGGGGGGGGAGCGGGAGGATGGGGGCGGCAGTAACAGTCACTCGCCCCGGGCGGCAAATTACCTAGTTACGCCACTGGATGCTCGTCATAGCTCATCTCATCGGAGCGAGTCTACACCTCCTACTGCTGGAATCCTTTTTCTGGATTCGGGCGAACAGAGCTTTCTCATCGGCGCTCCGTCCTCGCAGAGACGACTGCTCCGATCAGATACACTTCAGCGTGCGTGGTCCCGTCCAAAACAGAGGCATACAATTGCAGCTGGAAAACGTCATGTTTCTATCCGCGTTAGTGTGCGACCACTCTCGAAACGATACCTTTTTTTATATGCAAGTATTAGACAAGAAATCACGAGATAATTGCCGTGATCTGCAAGCACGCAAGGTTTGCCAAGACGGAGTCGATAGGCAGGAGATGGCGCCACAAATACTAACCGTTGTAACAGGATGGAGTTGAATCTTCATCAAAAGACGAAGGAAAGAAAAGGGGAAGGAAAGGAAGAATGAAAGATGATGTCATGGTTCATAAAGAGACTGGTCATAAGACTCCCTATAAGCAATTCCGTTAGGGGCTGTTTCCCGTCAAACAGCTATGGGGGGGAAGGAAAGGAAATATTTTTTTCGCGCGCTGTTCGCCGCGTCTGAAAAATGGGACAAACTTGCTCTATTCTCGGTCGCCAAACAGGCTACGAATCTCCACAGAAGTCTGAAGAGGCGGACAGCAGGCGGTTTCGAGCACTTGGAGGAGTTCCATTCCATCAATTGCCATGGAGATGAATTCCAAGGAAAGACAACGTCCTCACGAGTAAGGACTGTTTCTGACCTACATTTTCCCGACGGATTCTTTGGAAAGAACTAGGATGACGTTAAAAGGTGCACTTATTCGCATTCACTTCAGTGGACAGAAGAGAGCTAAAGAAGAGAGATAAAGCTCGAGAAATCCGAGGCATCCAGAAAAAGAGGTTCATATTCCATCAGCACAGTCTTCATGGAATGATAAGTACTAAAAATATTTTCAAGGCTCGGAAGAAATGTGAACAGAGGTGCATCCAGAACCCCTTTAATTTCGCTCTACTCAACCACATTTCAACTGCTGTAATCCATTTTTTGGTGCATAATATATATTTAAAAACGTAAGGCTCTTGCACGGGTGTTTCATCAAGTGAGCCTATTCTTTACAGGTTTTTTTTTCCCGTAAGGATTCTCGTCCCGAGCAAAAATTTCGGAAATACGAAGGAACATCAAGACTTCGCGGACTGAGCTCCTACCTTCTATTGCGTAGCATATTGTGTAACGCTAATTTTTTAGGAGGGGGTAAAAGAGCCACCACGGTGAACATGGAGGATTCCATGATGTAGATAGATTTGTAGCTTTCAAGCTTCTCAGATCTGGATCTCGGTACTTCTGTTGCTAACGATAATGTTATAAAAGGTCTGTCTGAATCTCCTCGGAACATATACCCACATATCCATCCATTGGCTATCAGGACCTTCATACATACCAGAACTCTCGTAAGACTCAGACACCTGAAGAGGGTAATACAAAGAGAGTGAACTGGGATCGTGAGGAACGAAAAGCGAAAAAGTTGAGGATGATGTTGACCTGAAAAGGACTTTTCATAACACCTATGATCCGATGAGTGATGGCCGGACATCGAATTCACAAAACCCATTCTAAAAAGAGATTTTCAGTGTATAGGGCATTTTCACAAGTTTCGAATTTCGCGATGTCATGCTCTTGCACGGGTTCCCGTGCCACAGGCGCGCTTCGCTACCCTGTCTACTTACACAGCACACCCGAAAGTGCGAGGCGTTCCACTCCCCAAAACGCGTTTCTGCGCAGATCTAAGAGGGGTCTCTCCGACCCCCCCTGGGTAAATCTGTTTCCAAACGCTTTAATGCCTCTTGCTCTCGGGATCGTAATGCCGTCTTCATCATTCATAAGACGTAATGATTCTCGAAAGGAACATTTCTTAATCCTCCGCCATCTGAATCATCATGCAGCAGTTTGCAAATCGAGAAGATTACGGGGAACCCATCGTGCGCAGACAAGTTTCATTTTCAACTGCGACGTTACGATGCGTTGAGCACGTTTTAAAACGATACGGCAAGATATGCTGCTAATTCAAGCAATGAAATTCGGCTGTTTTCACGAAAGCGTTCTTCAACTTTTAAAATGTTTGCATCCGTGTCTGCAGTTGACGGGCACGTTCACCGTCTCTAACGTCTGCGCGGCCGTCCGTAACGTTGATGCCACATGAAAATGGCACTTCTTGGAGTTTCTTCACTGGAAGCTTCTCGGATGAAGTTAAAAGTCGCACTTGCTGAATTCTAAGGCCTAGCAAAAAATTCAACGGAGTATAATCGTTTTAAAGTGATGGAAATAATTCCTTGGCCGTCATATCAAATGAGGGTTGTTCAATTACCTTTCCTGGAACCGGAAACCTTAAAGGAAGCAGCTTCTCTCTACTGCTGCTGTGAGTCAACTGAGCTAGCTGCAACTGGACATGAACGATTTTAGGCATAGCAGCGCTGTGGCGTTTCCATACGGTGAGTCCGTGAACTCTTCATTATCCCATCCGCACGGCCCGACCATATCATTCGCTCTCTGAAGATGAAAAAAAGAGGTGGAGAGGACAAAGTTGACATCCACAAGTCGTAGCCGCTTTCCCACGGCTGGGCACAGATCAAGTAACAAGACCGTTCCCAGACGGTGGGATCTGGTAGCTATTCACGCGGATGGAAGCATTCTAGCATTCTGCTCCTGGAAATGTTTTGTTGCACTGGAAGAAATTTGTGGAAGTGAAGGATTCCGGAATCGGATCGGCAGACGTCCCCACCGAGTCTCTCTCACCTTCTTTCTGCATTCTGCATTCTTTCCCAGTTCTGGGAATCTACACTCCGATTGCGCGTGCCCATCCCCCCCTTTTTTTCATCTCTTGGCATCAATCCAAGCTCCATGCATGATGCACGCCTATAATGACACTTACACCCGGGAAGATTAATTTATTCTCTGAAGCATCGAAACATGAATGCTTTTCTCAGATACCTACCTATTTGACTATGTCCGCGGTGTAAAACAGCTGTGGTTTCTTTCCACATCACCTCCTTCGTCCACGAGAAACTCAACGGATATTTGACATTTCTTTGCGCTAATCGATGCAAAATGAGAGCGAAATCGATGCAACCATCTATTGCACTCAAATCCATCCTTCTTCACTCGAGGTTAATGTTTAAGTCATGAGGTTCCCCCCTGCGCAAGTTTTTTCTTTCAATGTTCCAAAATACGGCGAGAAGAAATCGCCCCCTTTCGGATGGATCTCCCTAAAATGTTATAAAACAATGAAGAAAGGAGTGATGAACATTGGTATAGAGGTGGTATCTTCCTGCTAGGCAGTGCCTACATGGACAAATAAGAGTTTCTTTAAAAATTGTTCTATTGCAAAGTACGGTGAACGCTAAAAGGAAAGGAGAAGGCTGCGTTCACAGAGGAGGGTTGAGAGGCATATGCGGCCAGACAAGCGCACAGTCCTCCGTCTCGTCATGGTTCTTACATTTTCCCTGGTTCTTCCTTGCATCCCATTCCATGGTGAAGCGTGCTTTTCTTGACGGCTTTCTTTCGCTGCGTCGAGGGCGGAATCTCTGGTGATGCACGCAATTATTGCAATCTAAGCGAACCCACACTAAAAGGTATCACGGTGCATATGCCTGATTCGTTGCATAGAGAGCGAAAAGAGGATCGCATCCTGCAGTCGGGTGGTCAATGGAGACTGGGGAATCTCGCATCAGCAGAAGGGATAGGAGGTGATACCTACTGGATGCCTGCTACCAATTCCACGAAATCAATGCCTGTTCCTTTAAATTTAAATAATTTACATATAAATAAAATTGGAAGAGACTGGTGTGATATCATTGATTCGGTTTTCATGCTTTGTCATTTTTCGAAAATGAATAATACTTACGTTTTATTTAATAAGTCAAGGTTCGAGGTTTGGGTAGGAACATGAAGAGGCATTTCTGTTCATATCGACATCTCGTACCGAAATGAAGCGCACATCTACGAAAGGCTTATCTCTCAAAAGATAAAAATTTTGCGAAGAATATCAGTCTATAGCTTAGTTGGTTACATGCAGCTATACTACCCCTTTCTTTTTGTCTGTGAATGCATCTTACCCCAATCTTGAAACTAGTCACGGAAGGGGCAGCCTGTATACCATCACCAAACGCATTCATTAGCCGACAATGAAAAAGTCACCTGAGTCTCATTCGATCTCGCGAAACTTGAGCTGACTCCCCTTCGTTTTGTTACCACCATCGGTTTGGGAAAGCCGACCACGCTTCGTGTTATCGATTCCCTTAATGATGTTAAATGCTTGAATGAGGTCCTCCCTCGCTAACCTTCCCTGGAGTGAATGATGTCCTTTCGCACTTGAACGCCTTTCATATGAAGTTCCTCGTACCTCCTTCACTTTCGCAGTCCGAGACATTATCTCCGACGCCATTAAATCCTCTTTGATGCAGGCCTCCAAAATCGAAGACATGTGAAACCATGTCCGATTTCTGCGTCGTATGGGGCTGATTTAGAGAGATTTTCGCTCTGTTAGGGTCTGAGACAGACAAACATTAATCTTTTTTCACTCTCCCTTCATACTGGCGTTAAACGCAACCATGCTTTTTCTTCTTCAAATGCAACAGGGCTCGTCCGACATTATTTTTATGTTTTCTGCATGGCAGGAGCGGAAGGGGCATATAATTATCAGTCGATACAAGAACGAGACTGGAAAACGTAATTACCACATCGGGTTTGGATGCTTCCAGTGAGACACGATGAGTCTTCGGCCGATCACGTGCTTGTGCCATCTGCGCCTAACCTGCACCACTTCCGCTGTGTATGGAGCTGACAGCACAGCCGCTTTTCAATGCATTATCGCCTCTGACCGTGAATCCCTTCCTCCAGTGGCATAGCCAAGAAAGGGAAGGAAGAGGGGTGAAGTTCCTTCAGTATTCGACTGAAAGGGAAAGTTATCCTATGCTGGGATAAGATGAATCAGCTTGGCTATAACATCTTTTCGTCGTCCCGTTTTAGATTCAACTAAAATGATTGTGTGGGCTTCGGATTTCTCGAGCTTTATCTCTCTTCTTTAGCTCTCTTCTGTCCACTGAAGTGAATGCGAATAAGTGCACCTTTTAACGTCATCCTAGTTCTTTCCAAAGAATCTTATAAGAGTGAGTGGTATCCATCCAATATATCTATTGTTATTGTTGCTGACCAGCCTAGTCCTTCCGAATCTCACCGGTACTCATCTAATTGGAGTCAGTACATATAGTAGGGCCCTTTTTCGTACACGGAGAACACGTAATACCATTCGGCGGCCGCGCCCACAATTGATTCTCCCCTCACTATAGATTCTATGTAAAATTATAGACAAGAAGTTATCTACAAGGAGAATTGTTAAAGTCGAACATCTGAACACGAAATACTACACCAGGAGAACAAAGATATCATCATCCAGTATTACCATACCCAGCCCCATACAACGAAAGCCCCATTGGAGGTTACTAAAAAAAATGAAACGAACAGTTCTGGCTCATCCACGTCACAGCCCTGACTTAGTTTCAACAATTACCATCTGTTCGCCTCAATAAAAGCTGCATTAGGTCATGAGATGAGGAGGTTAAGCAGGCGATGAAACAATGGATCAAAGACACCACGTTTTCGTAGTCTCCAACTGTTTTCTTGGAGACTAAATACTAAAATATCGTTACACAATATGGAGCTTGAGGGATTAATTCCTTGATTTGAGATTTTCACAGAAAATGATTTTGTTAATGGAATGCTGTACCCGTTATGCTCTTTGAGTGATTAACTCCTAGCCTCAGTCTACGGGCAACCATTGGGTAAGTGAGCAGGGCCTTGGGGGTAGTTCCCACGAGCGCTCAACCATTAAATAATTTGAATAACTTCATTAACTGTTTTACGTGTACCTGAATCAGGCTTACTTTTGACCTAATTTTCACTCCTAAGGCCTTGACCAGGGCACAATCTTGAGTGCTTTTGATAACACCACCTTGAGACTAATTAAGCAAATCCAGCTGGCCAATTGCCTTCAACAAACGTTGTTAGCTGTTTGCAGGGCACAGGACTATATACTCTGCCCTGAGTCTTTTCTTGCATGCACAACTTAAGGGCCTCAAATTCTTTTCCTAGCCAAAGAAAAATGAATTTTGCACTTGAACTGTAGCTCAATTACTAGAGCCATGAGTGATTCATGATCAAGCCATTCAGCGGAGCATGGCAATGAAACAACTAAACCGGTTCCGTTGGCCCTCTGACAATGACATAATAGCCCACAAAATAACGTAATCGGTGAAGAAAAAAAAATGAATTGAAGGCGTTCCAAGGAAAGCTAAGTCTTGCCGATGCAGCAAAAGCATGGGATAAAGCATGAGCACACAAAAACATGACACAAAAATGGGCTCAATTAGGGAGAAATATGACTTTATTAATTCAAGCTGAACTTGTTTTGGGATGCAATGAGGCGAGAGACAAAACTGAGAAGGCACAAAAATCTGGAGAATATGGACACCTTCACCCATAGGTGAAAAAAGGAGGCCTGAAACACATGCACTGAAAAAAAATTCCACAGAATCGAAAGAATTGGAAAAGGAATAATAAACGTAAGATCTCTAGGAGAACCAAGTACTAGATGAAATCATCGTATTCATTATCAAGCTCGCCTCCCACATAGCCATACTCGTCCTGCTGAGAAAGATAAGAGACATATTCACTCAAGAGCAATCAAATCATCCTTGAAGCGATAGAGAACTGTGGGAGACTCACGTCTTTGCCAACTTTGAGGCTGACTTTTGCCTTCCCTTTCTTTTTGGCTTTGCTCTTGGCTGCCTTCAGTTTCTCAGCATGGATTGCATTCAGGGTCCCACCCAGCTTCTTCACATCCTCTGCTGTCACTATAAAAATTAATTCCAATTTAAAAAAGGGTTCTACAGACAAAATCGTTCACTCATTACCTAAATGGGAGTTTCATGCAAATCAGAGTTTATGATTAGGAAGGAGCCACTGCTACAAGAGTGACTCACTTCAGCATGGGACAAAGCTCTACTAAAGGAAAACACACTTTAAAAAATGTTAATCATATTGGGACGAAGCCCAACGGCATAGCGTCTGGGGAGCCAGAGTGCGGGGAGGTCCAGGGGCATGTGCCCCTGCACTATTGTAAGACAATGGAAGTGGACAGGTAGACAGAGGGGATCACTTGTGCGGTCTCTTTTATTTTTTGAAAGGAGACTCACTAAAAAAAAAGGAATAAAAGACAACTAAGTTATCCCTTTTGGGTCATCTCATACTTAGCACTTGATAGGTTTCCAAAAAGCTTTGCTGCTTTTCGACCCATTCAAAAATCCAGACTACCGTGCAAGTTGACACCTGAAAACTGAAAAAAGTTGAAGTTGTTTGTCTTGGCCTAATGGCAGCAATGTCCTTTTGGCAGGCGAGCAAGGCCATGAAAAAATTGCCAACTATTCTTCATTATGGCATTTCTTTGAAACCTTTTTTTTTGCATCGATGCGAAGTAGAGCAGAGAATGTTTCCCCATAACATTTGTTAATGCTTTGATTTAAAAAGAGCTGAATACAAAGAGTTTTCTGTGAGAGTGAGTAAAAAAAAGGCATGAATCGACCTTTCTCGAGTTCTGATCAGTTTTAAAGAGGAAGGGACGAGTCCTTCGTGCATAAGCATATGGGAGGGGGGGGGGGTCTGTCCATGTACATCACGTCAGATTGATAGTAGTACAGAACAAGGATGGGCTGTGCAAATGGGAAACATCAACGAAAGTTTCTTCCCTTATAGAAACCTTCCTAGGCCAAGCTATCCCGAATACTAAGCAATCCATTAGAGAAGCTAATGCTAAGCTGACGCCAATCTCAAATGACAATACAATGACAATAGGTTTCCAATGCACCAAGCCAAATTAATTCTGACCCCTCAAATGAGAAAGAAAATCCTCCTTCCCCCATGATCTGCAGAAGGTGAGCCTACGCCTCTCGAGGAATTATGTTTACACTTTACACTTGGAAGAGAAGGCTGGAGAAAGAAAGAAACCAGACAGTGAAGGTCAGCAAACTTTACATTTCCTTAACATTGACTTCATTCAGAAATGACATTTCTCCGTAATTCTCCCTCGAGGGATCTCCGTCCGAACAAGTGCGGAAGTGGCAGAGACAAAGATGAAGAAATGAGACAGTGAACACGACATATGCAGTTTCTTCCCCGTAGCGATTAAAGAATGAATGTAAGGCTTTTCCAGAAATAACTCTCGTAGCATAAGTTCTTTGTTCAAGAAATTCAAGCTCTCAAGAAAATGGAATGACATTCACAAGATCTGTTTTACAGAAACATGATTTTCTTAACGTCATTTATGGGAATAAGATTGACTCAGATGAATCGGACCTCACATTTATGAAACAAGATTAGTTCAATTTAAACCGATTAGGCACGACACAAAAGGGATGGAAATCAAAGAACTTCCTTTTCCTGCGTCTCTGTCTCTTTCTGTTACAGACTACATGCCTGCAACACTAAGTCTTTCGAAAGTAAAAAGATTTTCCCGACAATTTCTCCGAAAGAATCCCAGCTCGTACACTGCGTTTAAGCTCTGTGGCATTTATTTATGAAACTTCCCCTTTCTCATGGGATAATATAAAATGGAAACGGAGAAACATTTTTCTGAAAATGGAGAAAATCTGACGTACACTGCTTCTGGAGACCCATTTCTCTTTGTATCAAGTCTCTGGCTGGCATCACCTAAGTGTTATCTCTAGTTCCTTTCTCCAGGATGCAGCCTTTGAGGATCCATTTTCCTGATTCAAGTGTCTTATTTGCAGTAAGGACTAGTTCCGATGAGGGCATCAGAGCATTTGCAGGAATGCTGGGATACTTTCCAATAAGAGTGCTATTGAATTCCCCTACCAACCCAGGTGATGTGAAGATGTTATCTCCATGCCATTCATTGGCATTTATTTCCATTTCGCAGCCGACCAAATAAACTGATAACAGAAAGTCAGAAGAGAGAATCGCGCAAACCTAGTCTGCAGGTATGGTTGGAAGCCATTTTACTGCATTGAACATTTGGAATTTCAGGGTTGCTGAGTGCTGCAATAAATTTTGACTCATTCATTGCCAGACCCTATCACTGATGGCACTTCCATTTTTCCCAAGGAATTTTTGCTCAAAATTGAAAACTGTGCATGGTTGCATAAAAAATTAAATAAATGCAAAATCTATGAGGAGGAGCATCATGAAAATTTTATATTATTGGACAGGGTGGCCCAAAAAAAAGGTAACCAAAATATCTATGACACCACATAGTTTTTGTCTTTTCTGTGCTTTACATACATATGTTTAAAATGTAGGCTAATCTTTCTAGGTCATAAAAGTGACAGGTTCACAAATGGACATGTTCAACATGCCCACTGTCCTGCTGTAAGAACAGCTTGACCTTTTGGAGATGATACTGATGATACAACTACATGCGTAGAACACAATTCCTAAATTATCATTTCATACGGACTGAACATTGAACAAGGGCGACCAGAGTTGTTCTTTATATCCATTGGCAACAGCACCTGTGGTCCTGAACTCTAATTCTAGCAAGGTCTTCTTACCAGAGTTTTTTTTTATATCAAACCCATTCAGTGCAGTGGTTATGATCACACCACTATTTCTTCCTAAACTCCTGAAATAACATTCAACAAGCCTAATTCTATCTTTCAGGGTTAACAGGCATATATTTCTTATGAATTACCTGTAAAAAATGAATATGATACTACATTTCAGTTACCTTTTATTTGGATTGTACTTCTTCAAAGTGTGTACCACACTGTTGTATAGGGTAGTTTTAAGAGGAAGACAGGAATAATACCATGGTCACATTGTGTTAAGAAAGGAAGTAGGAAAGAAAATGACAAGAGGTGAAGGCAAGTGAGCTTGTGAGGGACAGCTTCCTCTCCATTAAATTCCCTTATTTCTCTCCAAACCATTCCTACAGGCTTAAAAACCAACAAAGAATAGTCATAGCTGCTTCAGCTTCATGGGTACCTGTTGTCTCCTTCTAACCTATACAGTCATCCCCGACTTGCGTCATCTCGACTTACATTGTTTGCCCCCAGACCCAATAAACCCAGGCCAAGTGCACAATTAGTAACTACATTGTATTACGTTGCCCTAATGTTGTCCATGAATTGGTATCTCAACTGTGAGTAGTCAGCAACACCATACTGTCTCGACCTACATCATCTTGACTAATGTTGCCGGTCTCGGAACCAATTACGACGTAACTTCGGGGGATGACTGTACTTGCTCAATTTTTCCATGATGCATTTAGTCAATGTAGGATGTGAGTACAGTTGTTCCCTTTGCTGCCTAGTATCCATCTTAATATCTGTCGTTCATCCTAGAACATAAGTACTCAATAGTGGGAAAATTATGATAGGGATAACATCAAGGGAAATGAGAACATCAAGACCTTTCAGGAAGTTCCTATCATAAATAAATTTTCAGCTTAATAAGAAATTTTCCAGAACTTTAGGACAATCAATCAGAGTCCCCCTTGAAATGGATCAATTGGAAATTGGGATACCCTACTGGGATGACAGAGGAGAAGGTTCCTAGGGAGAACTCACATCCAATGGAAATCTCTCGCATGAGTTCCTCAAGAAAGGGAACAAGAAGAGGTGACTTGGTGTGCTTCTCCAGTTGTGATACAAGTGACTTCTGGAAGGCATCAAAATCTTCCTTTGACTCCAGTGACATGGCCCATGGTTCTGGTTCTTCTGACTTAAGGCCTATAAGAACAGAAGACAAGAATGGCCATCACAGCTTCAGTCTCCTCAAATTAAGAATGAAGTCTGCTCACATCCCCTTTTTTAGAGAGGCCATCAGCAGAATGATACCAAGCTGGTACTGATACTATATCTATGAAGATTCAGTGATAGTAAAATCCACTAGTTAACAAAAACCCATCAATACTGGGGAAAGCATAAAAAATGGACCACTCTGAAACTCTTTGGTGTTTATAAGACAGCAGATGGAACAATTAAAATTTTTTGTTATTATGTCCTATCTTCTAAAAATAATCCCAACATATTAAATGGATAATAATAATCCAATCATATGGGGACACTTACTGCATGAGTAATTTTATGAAAGCAACTCAAATTTTAATTTGGCACTAGCACCACATTGCAGGTTTTGGACCAGCAGCACAGCCTAGAAATTCCTTGAAGCTAATTTCCCTCTGCATTTCAGAACATCCAGAACATCCAGAACCAGACTCACTTAAATCTGGCCAATTTGTAACTGGGACTTTGTTTCCCAAGATACAGTGACATCAAATTCAATTTTATCCAATGTCCAATGTCAAGTCTAGTTTTATTTAGTTTAAGCTAATACCAGTCCTTCTTTCCCTTTCAGAACCAGTTTCTTGTATGTCTGATAATGCACCTACATTTCTTCTATTACGTACTAGGAAATTCTTGACCAACCCCATCCTTTATGGATAAAGCAGGCTTTAATTACCACTCATTCTTCAGCAGAGAATGCCATTTACAGGGTGTCCCACTTATTGCGGACAATTTTAATCACATAAAAGTCTTCCTATTTGAGCAAACTAAACAAAATTTTCACAAAATTTAGACAACTGTTTAGCATTTGTAGTGACAAAGTTTCAGGCAAATCAAATACACCAATTACGAGCTATGAGCTTCAACATGGCCCCCATTGATTTCAAGCACTTTTCCCAATCGTTCGCAGTATTCAAACCGTTTTCTAGCGCATTTTAACAGTAATGTCTACAAACACAGCGGTAATTCCTTCCTTCAGTTGGGAATTTCTCTCGGTTTGGTCGAGTAGACTTTCGACTTGACAAAGCTCTACATGAAGAAGTCGCATGGCATCAAGTCCGACCCGTCCCACCTCATTTTGGCAAAGAAGTTTGTGCCTGGCTGAAAAAAGTTTCCGGATTGAAGGATGGGTCTTGGATCGCTGGCCGGCCTATTCTCCTGACTTAACGCCGTGCGATTTCTTCATGTGGGGCTTTGTCAAGTCGAAAGTTTATGCGACCAAACCGAGGGACATCCCCAAACAGAAGGAACGAATTGCCGCTGCATTTGTAGACATTACTGTTGAAATGCATGAGAAAACGCTGCTTGAATACCACAAATGATTGGAAAAAGTGCTGAAATCGATGGGGACTATGTTGAAGTTCATAGCTTGTAATTGGTGCAAGTAATTTCGCTGAAACTTTGTCATAATAAATGCTAAACAGTTGTCTAAATGTCGCAAAATTTTTGTTTAGTTTGCTCAAGTAGGAAGAATTTTATACGTGATTAAAATCATCCGCGATAAGTGGGACACCCTGTACAGAGGCAGACTGAGGAGCACAGCCTCAAAATAGTTGCAAACTGCACACATGAACCACATTCTCACTGATACCTTTTCCTTGAGTAAAAATGAAATTTTGCATTTGTGAAGCTGTTCATGTGGTATGACTAAAAAGAAGGATGAAGTACTTAAGAATGTTTTAAGGATAGAACAAATTAATTAGCAGGTTGACTGCCATGAGGTGCACTGGTGCACCTCACTGAATGGGAAAATCAATAGGCCAGCATTTCTGTGGCGGTCAACGTGTTAAAAAAATTAAATAAATTTGTTGTTCCACTTGCTGTCTCATGAAAGTCAAAGAATTTCCAAGATCAGTGCAATTTTAATGCCTTGCACAGAATATATCTGTTACAACAATACTTGAAATTAAGAAATGGGGAACTTGCCAAAGGTTTCTCTTGTCACAGCAAGGTCAGCTTCTTCCTGAAGCCTTTGTTTCCTCAGCTTCTCCTGAAAGACATCTTCAGGCGTTTTTGGATTTTTCTCTTCTTTTTTCTCTTCTTCTTCTTCTGCCTTCTCCTTAGCTTCCTTTTCAGCTATGATATTGACCATTTTCTTTTTTTTCTTCCTTTGGAATGCTCTGACTCCATCCCCTTCTTCATCATCCTTCTTTCCCTCTTCCTTCTCCTTCTCCTCATTCTCATCCCCCAACTCCTCCCATGTATCCTAGGCATTTCAGATGAGAACTTCGGATGGATTTGTATTTCAATGAGATACTTGTCTTACTCCCAAAGAAGGAAATGTGAATGTTGATGGTATTGTGAAAATTCAGTACTGTCCTAGTGCTGGAGATAAGACAGGTATGTGAATGAATCTTGTTAGTAGAGAGGAACACAAGCAGCTGTATTACAAGATGGTTCCAACTCAAGTACCCTTCATGGAAATGATAAGTATAGCCAATATGAGGAAGAAAAACAGGATAAATTGTAGAATCCTGAATTCATGATTATCAGATAAAGTTAGGGTCAAAGGGAAGAGATTGAACTTCAGGCACAAAAAAATATTGATTTCTTAGCCACTCAAAGTTGCCTCACTTTGGAGGATTGTTCTTATAAAAGGGAAATTCAGTAAGATCATTGAGAACAACATTATCATCCACAGATAACATATTTGTTCCTATAACATATACAGCCATGTATGTATATCTTCCATTGCTGCAGCCACTTCCTTCAAAGGAGGCCTACTTCCATCTACTTTTACCTAAGGTTATTATTAAGACCTGATCAAGCAGTTGTACATTCTTTCAAGGCTAATAATAGGACACTCTTGTTTGTCCTCCAGTAAGATGCACTATTTGATTATGTGTAGTGCAATGGTACCTGGTTATTGTCAACAATTAAGAAATAGGACTCAGATAACATTGAAGTTTCCACATTTTTATTGGAGAATTCTTCAAGCATAGAAGATAAAGAAGGTAAGCCTGAGATCTGATTTCAGTTTTAACACTTAGTTTATAAATGGGATACTATGCTGCAAATTAGTTACTTGGAACAACCTGATAGTTTAAAATCAATACTTCAGAAAAATTGGTGGAATTCATTTTCCACCCCATTTGTAATTACAGGACAAATATACACTCAGAATTTCCTTGTCAAATTTCAAATGGATGAGAAAAGCCAACATTCACTCTTCCCTCTTGGAAATGTACATGCCAATTGCCAAGTAGTCATCCCATGGTAAGGGTGGTTTACATTTAATAATTTCCCTAAAATTAATCATATCTTAGCAACACGTTATAGCTCGAGTATCACTGCACTATATAAAGGCCTTAGGTGAAGTTACCAAGGTAAGGGCATAGAAAATTGACAAAATATTGGTGCATTTTGACAAAAGCCAGAACATCTTTACAATTACTCCATATGCTCAGATTCTTGCAGAGCTATGTGGGATGGGTCTTAACGGGTTCCCTTAGGCCATTAATACATGAGATATGAAGGCGTTTGGACTGAAAAAGCAATGTTTATGCATTAAAGCATTTACATTATTTATGGAAAATGTGGGAGACAGGGGGGGCAGCCATGTTGAATGGAGGCAGAGAACAGCAATTTTCGTTTTAACAGTAAGTGCCTTTGCTGCCTCCATGTTCACACACTGAATAAAGTAAACACTTCAAAGCTAGCAACTCAGACTAATATTCCATCAGCTTTTTTTGGGTTTTCACTAAGCCCAAGTACATTCTAGAAAACTAACTATAAACACATACTAAGTGCACTGCATTCCTTCCATATTGGGCCAAAAGAGAAAGTCAATCTATTTTGGAGGATGATGGGTTAAAATAGGTTGACTTTCTCTTTGACATTTGACACTGAACTGGGAAAGGAACCATTGAGGTCCATGAACCTTGCTGGCGCTGATGGGCCTCACCAGAATGAGGAAGACTAGGCTGGACGTGTGTATGAAAACCTGAACATTACTCGGGTCAGTCCGAGAGGACCAACCCGAGACCTGAATACAGAGTGCATGTGTGGGAAGGCTCTGGTCATGCTAGCAGATGCAGGGATCTGGGTGGGGCGTGTGACATGGGTACTCTGGGTTGCCAAGGCCTGTTATGTGCGATGAGTTTCAAATGCTTATTGTGCAAAACGACATGCATGCACCACTTATAAAAATTAGGTGCTAGTTTATCTATATTAATATACACATGGCTGTCACATTCATCTTGTATTAAGGATGTGGGGAGGAATAGTAAAGTTAAGCCCAAATTTCTTCCAATGATTATACATGTGGTTGGTGGAAGACGGTTGCCTTCCCATGTCAAGTGGTCATGGTCAAAGAAAATGCAGTCAGATTAATGTATTTTTGGGGCTTGGATGATGCACTTGTCCTGGACCCAGGTTCCACATTGTACTTTTTTTTTCTCCATAAGATTAACATGAGCAATTTTAGGAAAATGAGAATAAATTTTTCACATGTCACATTTTTATCAAATGTCTCTAGTGCATGTGCTAAGCCAACAAAAATTGTTTAATCATGACTTGGTGATATCCAGAAGTCACCCTTTAAGATAACATGACAGAGGTACACCAATTCAAAGGTAAGAATCAAACTTTACCATTTCTAGCACAAGGCATAGATCCTAGTGGGTATGGTTATGGCCCCAAGACTTGTGTATCATAAGAGTATAGATGAGAAACACAAGAGAAAAGGTTCCTTCTGTTAGTGTCACTTTCATTTTGAAATCCTGTCAAGGTTGAGCAACTTATGCCAGGAGGATTTAATTTAGCATTTGCTAAAAATCAATGGCACCATTTTCTGAAATATTTTTGTGCATTATTCCAACAGGATTTAACAACACTGATTCATCATTCAATGTGTGTGATCCTGAGATCAGAGGCTTAAGAAACTGAATATGTTCATTCATGCCAACCAAATGCAGTAGTACCAGAAACCTACTCATGAGCATGAATTATTCATTTAGAACATTCCAAAGAATGGGCCTTTGTTGCACCAATATTGTGGGGACAACAAGCCAAACATGGGGGTGTTGACTTCCTCTCATTCCAGTTTGTCCTGCACTTCCCTAAGAGATTCTTTCTCAGGCTTCATAAGAAGTGAAAGCATGGAGACCTCTAACCGGACTGTTGTAGGGACCAAAACACACTACACTTGACTACAAGGTCACTAGGGCAGCTGTGACACTTGTAAAGTGGAAAGAGTAATTTTTAAAAATTGTTTAACCCTATCAATCTGACCTGGGGTCCACTTCGACTATCATGGTGATGTGGGCCAAGTAGGTTTTTCAGTATGCCAGTATGCCAGCTGCCATCTTTGAAACACATAAGTAAGAGCTGTCACCAAAATTATGACCAAGAGTAAAATAATTTTTTGTAGAATAACATAAAATGGGGCTGGGAACCATTCAAACTCCAGGTTTTAATGATAAGGTTAAACACTGGCATTGCTCTTCACCTAAGGGTAATCACCTTTGCAAAATAATGAAAGTTGTTATGGATATTCTGCAAGAACATGTGTGATTTGAAAAAAAAAACCCTGAAAGTAATGGAACTAATATCTATAAATAGGCCTAAGTTACTAGATATCTTGGACCTCTATAGGCCTACCTTCACATCTTCTTCATCTTCACCTTCCCATTTGTCTGTAGTACCTTTCACAAAGGTTGGGGGCTCAAAGTTTTCAGCATCTGCAACAAGCACGACAATTTTAAAAACTTTCAATCCATAACATGTTGCGTGCTTGAGCTGTTCCGCTCATGCAACACAGGTCATACGTAGACCTAATGTTAGGCTAGGCTAAATATCAGCCTTTCAGCCTCTGGTTGGCTTAGTAGTATTGGTGCTTGCAATAGTTCTACTTAACAGCGACTGTAAACTGTCTTTTTGTACTCTTAGGCCTTGCAATTCTACACTCAACAAAGCGTGTGATAATGCCAGCTAATAAGCCAATCCTATGCTTAATAGCTCACCCCAATCTCCGTCAGCCATGGTATTTGTCTCGTGGCAATACGGACGAAGGCAAACGTTATCTCTGATGTGTTTTGTGCCTTGTGAAGACAAAGGGATTCCTAAAAATATGTGAAGAGTGAAACGAGGGACACCTCACTAGCATGGCGCCAACTGGACATGTGCCACATGTGAGATGTTGCTCTGGGAGCTGCCATTCCCCCTCCGCCTTTGTTGACATCTAACGGCTGAAAGCACAACTAAAATCCGGACCATGGAAGAGTTGGTGCCGCTGGGTCTTGTGGAACGAGTTGTGAATGGATATGTCTCATGCAAGTTAACCCTGCCGTGTAAGTTAAACTTGCATCGTGCAAGTTGAACTTGCACGGCCAAATCGTCCTGGGTTAACTTGAACAGTCCACCACGGCGTGCAGGTTGAACTTGCATGGGCAAACCCTTGTTCATGTTAACCTGGATTACACATTTTCGGGCAAGTTCAAAGAAACACTTCATCTCGGCCAGAATAATGATCGTATGCCTTCGGCTGCTGGCATTTTTGAGCCAGCATGTCAAACACCATGAAATGAAATTAGTCGATCACCCTTATGAATAAAATGAAGAAACTGCTTCATGATGTCAAATTGTACATAATTAAAGAATCTGTAACAACTCTGTCAATGCCTACATTCAAGCCATTCTGTTAAGCACACCCTTTTAATATCCATTCATTTGTTGGAACGCGTCCATGACCAGTGGCATCGAGAGTTGCATTGGGTATTATTGGCTACGCACTTGCACCTATTGTTTTTTTTTTTAGATGCATCGTTTCGCAGTAGCGTATTCTCCGGGGGGGGCTGTTGCTCCCCTCGCGCCCCTTGGGGGTAAAAATTGTTTCCCCTGATATCGCTCCCGCTCTGTTGCCCTGCTCCCCATGACTAGGGTTACCATATTTCGGAGAGCCAAAAGACACCTTCATTTATCAAGGGAATAAAGGTTTTATTGGAAAATCAAGGTTCCTTGTTCCATGCTAAAATGAGCAAGACATGAGAAATTCCTCGGCATCTTTTTTCTAGGTTATTAAAAATATAAACAAATGCATGTCACACAGGCCTCGTACTAATTTTTCGGCGCCCATGGATACTTTTCTGTTGAACACATTTCTCGATGTTGATTCAGCAAGTAACCGGTGAACATCTTTACACAAGACACGTGCTCAAAGGTATACTGCACAAGAAGGATCCATTTCACAGACTCAACAGCTAAATTGTTCCTTTCCTGTGTCCACTGGCTTTGCATCAGCGAAAAAACTCTCTCCACATTTGCATTGTGAGAAGGAATAGCAAAGAAAAAATCTGTTATATTTAACAACTCCGAGAGAGAGTAGGCATTTCTTGAGATGTTGAGATGAGAAGTATTTCACCCATTTTCGGTGCACTAGCAGAAAGTTGACAATTTTTTTTAGTTTTGGGATGAGAAGTTCATTCATCACCTGGTGTATCGCTCAAACTTAACTGTGGCTGTTCTGCACGTTTCCCAAAGCATTAAGTGGGATTAGATGAAAATGAGGATGGAGCAACTGCCCATACTGCCTGCGCATTAAAGGAGTTGATAAAAAAAAAGTTGTTTCTTAACCGTCTCAAATCAATATTTGGAGATTTTTATGACCAGACAGAAGCCCTGACTTTACAGCCCTCAATTTTTTTTCCCAATGGGGCACTTTAAAGTCATGCATTTACGAAAACAGACCAGGGACCCGTAAAGAATCAAGATGAAACATCGAACTTGAAATGGCCAAAATTACCATAGATATGATTCACGAAGTGATGGGGTGATGGGCAACACAGTGACAAGTGCGTGCCAGTACATATCAGAAGGAGGCGGACAATTACGCAAATTATTTTTAATCGTTAATTTATAAATCAGATGTGAATATTGTCTCCTCATCTCATCTCCTCATCATCCTCAAAACTCATCAGTATATGGTATACTATGAAGTAGACATTATTTTAATTACTTTTTTTTTAAATATGCAAGTCACAGAGTTTTTATTTGTCAGGTATTTCTTGGCCACAATATTGCATAAATTTAAAAGGAAAAAAAATTAAGAGCTTCGCAGTGCAGCAACACGTTCGCTGCCGTTGATGCATGTGCGCGTCAAAGGGCGTTATGAAGAGTGCCGATGAAGTACCTAAGCGTTATCAGCGATTTGCTGTTTCCATACCTCCGCTTTTTAAGGGGCTCGGCAATGGCAAATAGCATGAACCATGCGACTCTGGGTGGCGCTCTAGTTTCTGGGTAGTATCATAAGTGAGGTATCTGACTTGGTTCACAAAGAACTTGAAATGGTTGATGAAGGCATCGATGAAGTTGTGGAAATTTGAGGTGTGAAACCTGCTGACTCACCACGGAATGCGAAGATGAGATGGTGACCATGAAGTCTCGAGGAGAGACTCCAAATGGGGGGAATAGGAAGCAGGAAACGTTATGGACGTGTCGTCGCACTAATGTTGCCAAGCCGAAAAAAATCTGAATATTGGTGACCAGAGGATGAATCCCGGACAAATGCTATACTTCTCTAAAATCCGCCCGGACGGAAATGTGAAGGCCAAAAAAGAGGACATGTCCGGGAAAAACCGGACGTATGGTAACCCTACCCATGACGCTTCGGCCAAAATACGCCACTGATCGTTCGCCTTCCTCACAAGCTTCTCTTCATCCTTCGAAGACTAGGACGTCGTAGTGCTTGAGGATGGTCTTTTCGTGCTTCAGCTCATTGATCTTTGCAACCTTGATCTCCGCGACGAGCCTCTCGTACCTATATATCGGGAACACTAGGTTGTTGAGAGATTTGGTCTTTTCGTAGAGCCCCAACAGATAATCATTGAACTGGGCTTTCGCACTCATTTTCACGTATTTGAAGGCAGATTGATCAGACGAAAACCACTAGAGCTGTTGAAGAACGAGAACGTTCACTTTCACTTGTGCCGCACTGAACAAGGAGAGAGAATAAGGCAGTCAATGAAGCGAAAGGATGAAGGTACCCCCTTTATCGTTTTCCCAGGGCCAGGCGCACTACTTCGATAAGAATCGTCTAACGTCCCGCCTGAACTTGCACAAAAATCCATCGTGCGGGTTAACTTGCAGAAGAAAGAATGCATGGAAGTTAAAATGCATAGGGAAAATCAGACGGTTTCAAGTTGCATGGTATATTTATGCAAGTTCAACTTGCATACGACAGATACATCGTGGAATAATTTTATTTTTTTTTACTCTCGGGGGGCGCCATAGGAACTCCTTGCACTGGGCGCCAATATGCCTAGAAACGGCCCTGGTATAGGTTGCAGACTTTGGAATAAATTAGAACTTCGTTCTAACGTTGCTACTTTTGTTCTCTCATAGGTGGCAGCCCCGTATATATGTAACGTTGGAAAGTCAAATGATCACACATAAACTGTATTGGACGAAAACGTCACAGACGGGTTTCCTGCAATAAAACGTTTTGTGGTTGTGCAAACCAAAGCAATAGAATTCTTCAGACACTTTGTGGGATACATCCATTCCCCAATGCGAGGTCTATAAGTGGGTAGACTGTACCTGAGGACGATCAAGTGCTAGTGAAAACCACGACGTAGCAAAGCACATCGTGCAATGATGCCAGAAAACATTAAATGAGTCAACGAATTGATCCGTGCGGACTGCCGACCTAGGGTCCTTCGACCTTCAGAATACCCACCAGACTGTTCTTGAGTTACTTGTCTGTCTCAATATGCCATCAGAAGTGTATTTTCGCCTCAGGGAACAGAAAGAAGTGACACATAGTGAAGTCTGAGGAGTATATAGATGAGACAAAACCTGAATCCCCATTGCATCTGTTTTCTCAGCATGTCTTGGATCTGTGCCCGGGTGGAGGATCCAATCACTTAGGACGAAATATCACTTCCTCTCAATCTTCTCCATCAGAGGACCTCAAATCACAATTAAGTAGTAGGTTCCAGTCATTGTCTGAACTTTGGGAAGACTGTGATGACTGTGAAGACTGTGATAATTCCTTGTGTGCTGAAGATGAGATGTGTCACCTTCTCTGCACTTTGAATAACCTTGGTTTTTTGCAGGTGAGGGCTCCTCTGATGCTGCTCTGATCATTTGCTGCTCTGACACTTCATTCCTTCATCATAATCATGGAACCAGGTTTAATCACGTTTGGTAATGTGATCCAGAAACTCAGCTTTCCCTTGAGTCAGGGGGAAGCTGAGTTTCTGGATTTTGGCAATTTCCAATTTTGGCAGAAGGTGACTTGGTTGACTTAGTGGTCAATGCTGAGAAGCCTGGAAACCAAATGAGCTATGATCTTCCTATAACCCATTTGGTCATGGATGAAGGCATGAGCTGATACAATAGAAGTTGTTCAGCATCAACTCTCACTGACTTGACAGTCTTCTCTTGCAAGACTGTCCAAATGAGATGCTGTGTCATGGTTTTTCCATGTTAAAGGACTTCTGCACCTCTCCTTGTCTTCAATTCTCTCATGGTCAGAAAACATTTTTCATACCAGCCAAACACCCTTGTATGGGATAGAGAAATGTTCACAAATGCTGTTTTGATGAAATTAAATGTTTCTGTTTTCTGTTTTCTGTTTCTGAAGTTTGAGTTTTCTGAATTTGAACTTCATTGACACACCACTCTTTATTCAATTCATAAATGCATGGACGATATGTGAAATACAACTCCTTTTGTGATGTTACTATTACAAGCAGTGACAAGCTACAAACAAACCACTTTCAGGGATGATTTTGGGACATGTTAGAACTTGTCTTGATTTGCACAGCTACATGCACAGGCTTGCTCATAGCCCTATGAATCTTCCTGGTAATCTGTAGCATGATGTCTCTCTGATAACCCTCAATAGCCATAATTCCTCAAGATGAAATTCAATTTCAAGAGCTGGCATTGGGAAATCACCATTTAAATGCTATTAACCTTTCCATAATGAAGTATTCTAATGACAATGGAGTTGAAATGTATCTTGAGATGCTGTGAAATTTGCTTTTCAGCCAAGCCAGAATGAACCAATGCAAAAACATCCAAAACTGAATTGAAATCCAACAAAACCCAGGAGACTTTTCAAGGTACAGCAGTGGACATTTACAAAGTTGTGAGGAAGGAAGCAGGAAGGAGCCAATGGAGACGTGTTTCCCTCATCCTAATTCCACACACACTCTTGAGATAAGGAAAATGATAACTTTCCATGTCATTTCAGTTATCAAACAAGAATGCCCTGGCCACATCCACCAATCAGCCCATGTGTATTCATGATAATACCTTGTTAAAATAGTCATTCAATAAATAGAAGTAATCATTATAGCCTCATCATGAACATCAACATGGTTTTAACAAGTTCAGGTCAGCACAGTACACCAGTGGCCTGTGCCATCTTCCACCATGGGCCATGATTGATAACTTATGAGAACCTGACTAACTTAGGTTTTAGGTGAGGTATATAATATACCACACTAAGAGTATAAGGTATATAATATACCACACTAAGAGAATGTTCCCCATAGTCAAGACCCTCAGACAGCATAATAAGTTTCTTGTTCCTAACTTGAATGTGTTTTTTAACACTATCAGAAATGAACCCAAATCAGTATATTTTACCTTGGTAACTTGTGCAAGACCATGTTGAATTTTTTGTATCTCAGCACTCAGTCAAGAGCAGAATGGAAAATGAAGAGGAAATGAGCTTAAAAAAAAAAGCGAGAAATAGTGATGGAGAGATTAAATTCCTACCTGTATCCATTAAATTAGATAAAAGAGTAAAACCTAGGATACATCTCAGCTCAAGAGAACACAGTATGCTAGTGTTGCACTATGAATTTTAGGTAAAAACAAGATCTGAGGGTGAACAAACAGTTATATTGAGGAAAGGTGAAATAAAAAATATTACTCCATCCATCTCAAATAAATTCTTTACAAAGTATGTTATATAGATAACTGAGGAGATCTCATTCCAACTTCTTTAGTCACCAGTGCAGAAGAAACAGTGCATCACTTGTGCAATATAGATGAAAATTTTCTTTCCTGTTATGCATGCAATTTCCCATACTTTGATCGTGTGAGGTCATCAGCTGGTTCCGCACTGGCTCGACTGAAAAAATCACAATCACAAGTATTCAGTTTACCTATAAGCAAGGAACAACAAGGTGCCAAATATGGAGACATGTGAAAGGCAATGACATGACAATGTGGAAGGAAGACCAGGGTCAATTTTATTGAGGATGATTATTTCTCTCAGGTAAAATTTTGCATCTTATACCCTTCTCATTCCTGCCTCCCTGTCTTGAAATATGGTGATGCACAACACCCAGTTTTGCAGTCCCTGACCAAGATAAGGTTGCATTATAGTCAGGGTTTTACTTGAATTGCAGGAAGACAATACAGTAATACCCTGCTTAGTGTTACACCGTATAGTGCTGTTTCGCTATAGTGCTCTTGATCCAGGAGAGAAACTTTTTTTTACAGAAAACCAAAAAAAGTTTTAAAATCCTACATCAAAATAACCATATAGTATGAACAAAATAGCAGGGAATAGTTATTCAGAGTCAGAGTTTTACCTTTCTTTGTTACTAGGCAGCACAGCAACAAACCAAACTTCTGGTTTGTTTAGGGAATGTCACTCATTGTCATCAATCAAAAAACTCAAACCTCAGCTTTATATATTAAAAGAGCAATCAGAGAGTTGAAATAGAACAGGAAAAGCTGTAACTATACGACTAGAAAATCTTATTGCATAGTTTTTTTTTATAATAAAAAAAGGAGATAATGCATAAATCAGATGCAGTTTCCTGTTTGCTACTAAAAGGAAAGACTCAAAGGCAGCATATGAAATATATATTTTCTTCCTGCAAACCTGAGGAGACAAGTCAGAATCTCCTGGGAAGGATATGCAGTGAGCCAAGTTGGTCCATCTGCATCCCCCCCCCCCCCTCCCACCCACAGTTTTAAAGAAAAGCTTCTGTAAAGAATTCAAGAGTGGTCTTTCACTGATATTTCCTCCATGGACAAAAGGTCAATGAAGATCAATGAAGAAAAACTATGGATACCTCACTTTCTTTTTTCTAGCAATTTAGCTTGTAGCTGAAAAATCCAGAAATGATGAAAGGATTTTGTGTGCAAACTAGGGGGTGCAAAGGGACAGTAGGTGGGCATGAACTTTGGCCTCTACATTACCTTTTTTCTTGGAATAAATGAGTTTTAGGGTTCAATATTAAATTTAAAAGGGAAGAAATGAAGAGGAGCACTATAAATTTAGGAAATTCTGAATTTTGATTGGCCTTGGCATTGCATTATTCTCAACAGCAGTGAGTTTAATAATGTTAACTCTATACAGGGTGGGCCAAAAAAAATTATGGTTATCTTTATCACCACATAGCACTGGCTCCCAAAAGTTAGCTGAAATTGCAATAGCACCTCCATATAGAACATTCATTCAGCTTTCCAATGATGTCAACAGAATAAAGGTTCGTAGCATGACTTTCATGCAGTTAGATAAAGAGTATAAGAGGTGATGCAGGAAAAGTTGATGCCATGCCATGACAGCTAGTGCATGCAAGAGGTTGCCTACTCACCATAAGCAAAGTAATGGACAACACCTGCAGCACACCTTGTAAGGTACTGTTAAGTGCACTTTTCAAGTGCTACCTTTGATACACTGTGTGTAACTGCATCTGAATGATGGATTGGATCTTAAATCTTTTAACGTCAGTGGAAAGCAAGATATATGTTCTATATAGAGAGACTATGCAATATTTTCAAACTCTTGACAAACTACACAGTGAAGTGTTAAAGATAACCAAAGCTTTTTTTGGCCCACCATGTACCACAAAAACCATATATTCATGTTTCCT